GGGGGGTTCCAAAGAGGATGAACCTTGGCTGTTCTCAGTGGTAGCAGATGACAGAACAAGGAGCAATGGTCTCAAGTTGCAGTGGGGGAGGTCTAGGTTGGATATTAAGAAACACTATTTCACTAGGAGGGTGGTGAAGCACTGGAATGGGTTACCTAGGGAGGTGGTGGAATCTCCATTCTTAGAGGTATTTAAGGCCCGGCTTGACAAAGCCCTTACTGGGATGATTTAGTTGGTGTTGGTCCTGCTTTGAGCAGGGGTTTGGACTAGATGACCTCCTGAGGTCTCTTCCAACCCTAATCTTCTATGATTCTATATACATACATACACACACACACAGAGAGAGAGAGATATAGATAGATACATACATACACACATGCACATATATATGCACACACATGCACAGATATATAGATATAGATATATCGACACACACAAAGTTTCCAGGTGTGAAATGATATGTGGCTTTGTTTGGCTGGATGATGAGTAGTGAGCTACTGGAAAGATGTGTTAAAATGCTTATTGTAGTTAAATGGTTTAGGACTTGACAAAGCCAGTTGTCCATTTGCCAGTGTTGTGTGCGGAAACTTTCCTTGGCAAATGTCTGGGAAGTGTGTGTTGTATGTGTGCACATGTGTGTGGAGGCTGTATCCTCAACTTTTGAATAAGTGTTGCTTTCAGGAGATTTTGACTTTCAATGAGAATCTTGTGTTTAACTCCCATTTGTGCATTTGAAAATCTTCTCGAAGAAAAGTTTTCCAGCCCTTGTGGTTCCAAATAAAATCTTCTTCTAAATATGAAGTGAGTGTAACCTGCTGAGTCTGCATAGAGATGGCTTCATTGCCTAAGATGCAGCAGCAGTAGAATTAAATTAACAAGACATGGGTCAGTTTCATTGATGGCATTCAGAACTCTTTTGGAAACAAGGAAGTGGTCCAGAATAATGTCAGTTTCACATTGCAGCTGCGTTTGATAGCTGTGAGAAACAGCAGAGGCAGTTCTTGAGGAAGAGGATCCAAAAAGCAGAGGTTGAGGGAGGTAGAGTGTACCTTTCGACCCCCTGCCCCTCATTTGCCTCAATTAGGAGGCTGAGAGAGAGGTAGAGTATCTGAGAACCTCTTCCATTTAAACCAGCCCAGAGGCTGTGGATGCGAGAGAAGAGAGAGACTGCGGAGTGAGCATCTGATTTATCAAATGTCTACTAGCTAGAGGCTGATATGAAATATGTAACCCCCAAGCAGGATCCAGGAAGAGCACTCTGTAGAAATCCCAAGCACCTCCAGCAGCTTGGGTTGCAGGGGACTGGGATTTCCTCTGGATTTGCTAGTGCACCCATTCTCTATTACCTGTATCAAACTCAGGCTAATCATTTTAATTCTTTGTCCAGTAGGTGGCTGGAAAATTTTTCAAGATCTGATTTTGGACAGTGTGTCAATGTTACATTAGCCAGGCATATACATTATCATCTTCTCTTGTGTATCTGTGAGGGCCTGGCAGATGGGTCTTTTTGAACAGGATGCTGAATAGGGGTTTATTTTAATTGGTGAATAAATTTAGTGATCATAAAGGACATTCTGGAGGTGTAAATGACTACACAAGGTGTAAAGCAGTGGAGAATCAGGCCCACTGTGGGTAAGTGTGGTACACACTTCCTCTACATAGCTGTCAATGGAACTCAGCCCTGACCTGCAGCAGCTTATGCAGTTTCAGTCCTGGGCAGAAACTGCCAATCATGCTAATGTGTGCGGGGGGAAGGAAGGGGTTGTGATGTTCACTAACATAGTCTAGGATGAGACTTCCATGCTCACTTTTGTATTACACAGGCTTTGAACTCAGGTCTTCAGAGGTGAAAGGCTAGTGTGGTAACTTGCTGTGCCACCTAGGCTTCCCACAGAGCTGTCATCTCAAGAAAGCCTCAGCAAGGTCATTTTGAATTACTCTGTTCTGCAGTATTGGTGCACCAGGCATAAAAGAGTCCAGCAGTAATTCATCAGGAGTCCTTGGATCTCAATTGATACCAATCAATCCTGCTGTGCTGCTAAAATAGATATGGCCAGAGCATAAAATAACTAATAAAAAACAAAATCCTCCATGGAAAATTCATTCTTCGGGGTATGAGCTCCCAGATGCCAAACAAAAGAGAGGCTGGGAGGAGAAAGTATTCGGGTTTTCTGGGTTGGGGTGTTATTGATCCTCCCTCCAAAGTCTCCCCACTTCACTTATTTACTCACATCATGGTAATCTTAATTTATCGGTTGATTTTTAAAAAAAAATCACTCAACATTGTTCACTGATTTGAACACTACAATAACAAACCTGTGTGCAGTTATTCCCTGCCATCTTAGGTGTGTATGTAATGCTTTCCTTTCTGTGTGTGCCTGATTCATTCTTGTAGGCAGGCAGCTAGTTGAAATTTACAAAATTCATACTCTCTGAATAGAGCAGATAGGATGTTTTGTAAATTTCACTTCACTACCTGCATTCAAGAACAGAGCAGAGGGTCTCAGTAGGCAAATGTATGTGTGTTGTCACCTCTGAGTGACAGAGAAACCAAAAACAGCAACAGCACTAGTTTTAGACTATAAGCCTTGACAAGACCTTTTTAATGAAGATCCACTGTGGCAAGTCAGAAAACTCTCAACCAGCAGATTGTTGGGCAAACATTTTATCCCCCAGGATTAAACCAGACAGAGCTACAGGTCTTTCCTGGGATGCAGAACAGGCATCTCTGAAAATCATAGAATCACAGAATCATAGGACTGGAATGGATCTTGAGAGGTCATCTAATCCAGTCCCCTGCACTCACAGGACTAAATATTATCTAGACCATCCCTGACAGGTGTTTTGTCTAACCTGCTGTTAAAAATCTCCAATGACGGAGATTCCACAACCTCCATAGGCAATTTATTCCAGTGCTTAACCACCCTGACAATTAGGAAGTTTTTCCTAATATCGAAACTAAACTGCCCTTGCTGCAATTTAAGCCCATTGCTTCTCGTCCTATCCTCAAAAGTTAAAGAGAACAATTTTTCTCCCTCCTCCTTGTAACAACTTTTTATGTACTTGAAAACTGTTATGTCCCTGCTCCGTCTTCTCTTCTCCAGACTAAACAAACCTATGGGAAGAATATGGGCTATTCTTCACTTACGACTAGACCGGGGTGGGCAAACTATGGCCCGTGGGCCGGATCTGGCCTGCGAGCCGTTTTAAGCCGGCCCGTGAGCTCCCGCTGGGGAACAGGATCTGGGGCTTGCCCTGCTCTGGAGCTCCAGCTGGGGCATAGGGTTGGGGGCCGCACCACGCAGCTCCTGGAAGCCGCGGCATGGCCCTGCTCTGGAGTTCCAGCCGGGATGCAGGGTCGGAGGCCGCGCCATGTGGCTCCCGGAAGCTGCGGCATGGCCCCGCTCAAGCTCCTAGGCACTCCAATGGCTCCCTCCAGCGCTCCAATGGGAGCTGCAAGGGTGGTGCCTGCAGACGGGGCAATGTGCAGAGCCGCCTGGCTGCACCTCTAAGAGCCAGAGAAGGGACATGCCGCTGCGTCCAGGAGCTGCTTGAGGTAAGTGCCACTCAGAGCCTGCCCCCCTGAGCCTCTTCTTACGCCCCAGCCCTGATTCCCCCCTCCCGCCCTCCAAACCCCTTGATCCCAGCCCAGAGCACCCTCCTGCACCCCAAACTCCTCATCCCCAGCCCCACCCCAGAGCCCGCATCCCCAGCCGGAGCCTGCACCCCTTCCTGCACCCCACCCCCTGCCCCAGCCTGGAGTCCCCTCCCACCTCCTGAACTCCTCATTTCTGGCCCCACCCCAGAGCCTGCACCCCCAACCAGAGCCCTCACCCCCTCCCACACCCCAACTCCAATTTTGTGAGCATTCATGGCCCGCCATACAATTTCTATTCCCAGATGTGGCCCTCGGGCCAAAAAGTTTGCCCAGCCCTGGGCTAGACTTTAGGCCCAGCTGTGAGCAAGGACTGGTGCACTAAGCTGCACCACCCCAGAAATAGCCTTCAGAGGTATTATGATGTAGAATTCCCATACATTTATGGTAATAAGCTATAACAGGATAAACATATTTATACCTGTATAACTGCATCAACACTAGGGGAGCTGTACTGCTTTAACTAGTCCAGTTTAGTTAGAGCAGTAACATTTTTGTATTTAGACAAGCCCTTACTTCAGGGCTGAATATTGCAGCCCTTGGTTTTACATTAGCATCTTGCCACGAGTCTGAAGGCTGCACTTCATTAGCATCTGCAGTTATGTAAAGATTTTTTGTATCAAAAATAAATGCACACATCGGTAATATCTGCCTGTGCTTGTCTCTCCCCTGATGGAGGAATAGAAATTGTGAGTTGAGATCACCAGCAAAAAAATAAAAGAAATCCCCTGCAGTAAAAGGGAGCGGGGAGTTTCTGGCTATATTTTAATATTCAGCAGGCCTCGCTTAGACACCTCTGCTTTAATTGTCTGAGACGGAGTCAGAACTTACATCTGGGACTAGCTGGGTGGGGTATCTGGGTTTAAGTTTACTAGAATCAAGTTAAGTTTGGAGGGGACTGTTACCTTTAAGGGATTTGGTAAAGCCCCTACATACCTGATAGGGGCCTATAGCTCATAGGGGCTCGTGTGATAGTTTCAGTGTGGGCCTGGATTGCTCCAGTTCTGCTGGCAGTCTCTTGGATGCTGGGAAGTCCCTGCTGTTTCAGGAAAGCAGCTTTTCAAACGTCGGCTGTTGAGTTTTCTCCTCCAAAACCTGTGTGGAATAATGACGGTCCTCCTTTTGCCCAGGGTTAGTGAGCCATCCAATCAGCTGGGTGAGACAGATGGCCACCAGGCCATAAAAGTAAAGTGTGGGATCAGTCATGGCAGGCGGTCAAGTGCATCTCATTACCCACTCATCTACTTAGCGAACCAGCAATGTAAAAAAACGCTGAGAGGTATTTTACAAGCGGTGGAGACACAGTGTTAACGGTATCAATTGGTTTTCTTTCCATACGGCCCAGGATTGCTTCACAGCACCTTTCCTCTGACTGATGGAGGGGATGGATAAGACAAAGAAAGAATTGACAAACTCGCTGGGGAGGAGCCCCTATTCTCCTCTTTCCAACAGCCAGGCTCAGGTCTTGGACCCCAACCCAGGAGCCAGTTCAAGCCCAATAGAAAGCATCTACAGGGGGACCAACAGGAAATACCCAATGATTAAACAAAAGGGATTTTACTCTGATGTGCTCTATCCAGGAGTCACAGCTTTCTTGGGGGTAAGTGCAAAGAGCCTCCTCTTTCTTCATCTTTTCTATTGGAGATCCACAGATCATCCTAGATCTAAGGATCCATGTGAAAAGCAGATAATCTGCAAGGCTTTCTCATGCAGAAAATAGGACGGCAGCTTAGAATGACACCTACCAATCACAGAACTCCTTGGCTTTCTTGTCCTCTTTTCTCTTGCCCATAATTTTCCACCCTCTGCTCCTCCCTTGGTCCATCTCTTCACCCAATCTGCTCAGAGCAAGGCAGGGATCAGGCAACAATGCCAGGGTCCTGCATCCTGTCTCCCATTCTGCAGCTGTTCCCCTAGGTCAGAGCCCTCATAGGATTTGACTTTTCTGGGGTAAAGCAGCAATGCTTTGTCTATCATAAATCATGATTTCCTTGAATTACTGGGGGGTCTGGCCCTCAATGCAGTCACAGTGTTACGTTTATTATCATGTTATTGTGGGCAGGGCACAGAACTCCATGCGCTAGTAAATGTATGAGGCTGGATCTTCAGTTGGTGTAAATAAGCATAGCCCAACTGGCTTCCTTGTTCTTTAGCCCTCTCTCTAGAGATCTCTGGTTGGTTTCAGGCTGTATTCTCTTAGCAATCCCCTGCCTCTTTGTTTGTGGTGCTATGTGCCCTATCCCTTTCTGGAGATACTCCCTTTGCTTCTTACAGTATCCATGGCACTCTATGTTTCAGCATGTCCTCTCTAACTCTGGTACTTCAAGCCCTCACTGAAGGTTCTTTCTTCCTCTCCCTGTATGACACTCTCTATGGATCCCCTTACTACCCTCTCTCTCTGTTGCTTTCTGTGGCCCCTCTCTCTTATCTCTGACTCACCCTGGTGATATTCTTATGTGCTGAATTTGCAGGATGTGTGCGCTGGTCCCAGTGTGTACAAGGATTTACTGAGACAGGCTGATCTTGAGCAGCACACGCCAAAAGGTAAATGCACTGAAAAGAATAATGCCGCTGCCTGTAGGCATGCTGGGAAATGGGGCCTTAAAGGGTTAATGTTGGTAGCAGTAGGCATGCTGGGAAATTAGTGCTTCAGCTGATTACTTTAGGCTAGAAGAACACTGGAAATACTCCTGTGATTCTGTTCTCAAAGCCAGGGATGATCCCAAGGTGATGGAATCACTTGGGAATGGTGGAGTGAAGTTAACCCCCAGGTCAGTAGAATGATCTCCTTCATGAGGAAAAAGCGATTTACCAACTGTCAGGGTATATCTGGCCCCTGTGATGCCCACAGAGCATTTGGGTCCATATCTAATCTTAGGAGGCGGCTCTTGTAGCTAGACCTATGGGGTACCCTGAGAAGAATAACAAGATTAATGTCACTCTGAGCACTCTGTCCTTCACAGGTCCATTATGCTTGAATATGGAGCACAACCTCCACTCCATAGGCACAGAGGTTACCAACAGCAGTGGAATGTGTTCATTACTGCTGAGGGAGGTGCCGGAGTTGGCCAGGCAGGAAATGTACACCCTCCCCTCATCTTCCCTCCCCACCCCATTTTGCATGTTCTGGAGTCCAGCTCCACACTCACTCTGCAGTGGAGCTTTGTGTATTGGAAAAAGGGATCTGCCACTCTGTTCCCACATGCAAGTGGTGCACATGTCCTGGAGGCTGGAGTATGGCCATAGAGATTGGCTATGAGAGGAAAGGATCTTTCCCTTCCCCAGAGCCTGGCAGACCCACAGGACGCAGTCTGGTTATTTGGATTGTAGGCTGGGGAGAGATGGAAGCCATATACCACCTTACTGTGCTTTAGATGTGCTATTTATTGTCCTGAGTAAGAGGAAATGACTTCATCCACAAGTGAATCTTGATAAGACCGACTCATCCCTAACAAGTGGAGACGGATCTTTATTTATGATACTCTACTTATTTAATGGGGAAAAAATCAGGCTGTAAGTATAAATGCTGATGACACATTACGTATTGACATAAATAACTGATAATGCACAAAGTGCTGCAATGAATAGCTTCATAGATTTCAATGAAGTGGAATGCCACCATGGGAATAATAGCATTTACTGACAGTAGATGTAAACCAGGGCAGTTCTGTGAAGAAACCAAATCAACATTTGTGCAGGGTTAAAGATATTCTGTTCAAACCTCTGTGCTTTCATTGACTCTTCAGTAAAAGCAAATCTTCAAAAAAATCATAAACCTGTACATTGATATGGACAATTCATGATTCTGTACAATATTTGATTAATTATATGAATAAAAAGGAGATTAAATATATAGAGCAGCCTGTTTAGTATTGATCTCCATTAGTCTAAATGTTATTTTTATAAAAAGTGAATGTTAGATTGGTATTTTTGTATTACAAGGATTCTGATCCTGAAATATTATTGACATCAGCATTTTGCTTTCAGTGAAAGCTGCAGGTGGTCAGTGCCTCACAGAATTGGTTTCAAAGGCCCCGATCCTGCAAACTGCTCTGCATAATTGCTTTAATGTCTGTAGGGCTCTATATGGGCACCAAGATCCAAGTACACAGAGCAAGTTGCAGGATTGGGTCCAAAGTCATTAACAACCTTAATCACATCCAGGTGTCCAATTTAAGGCCCCAAATCCAAAGTTTTTCCTTGACCAGTATGAAAGTTTCTCAAGCAAGAGATGAAAAGATCCCACACTCCCTCAAAGTCCTTTATCTTATTTTTAGCTCTGTGTTAGGCTCTCTCCAAGGAGATGATGCTCTTTACATCTTGCAGCCAATTACTTATTTCAGGTAAAACATCAAATTCCCAGCTTCTTGCAATTCTTTTATTTGCAGCTAATGATGGTATACTTAGTCATCTAAACATTTATGTTTTATTTATAGGTTATCTAAGATGATGATTTTCTTTGGGTCAAAGCCTTGGAGATCTTTACTTGTTGTTAGAGCACACTTCCCACTGAAGACAATAGGCCAAAGTCCTGAGATTGTTAGTCAGTTTGTATTCAGGCCTTAATCAGACAAATTCCGGTTGAAGCGAATGGAAATTTTGCCTGAGTGAGAACTGAATAACTGACTCCTTTTGAGGTTTGCCTGAATAAAACATGAGTAAGCCCTTCAGAATTTACTGGTTATCTGACTTGCTCTCAGTCTAGATTTATATGCCTCTCATCACCATAGTATCTGAGCACCTCAGTTATTAATGAATCTTACTTTCCTACAGGATTATCGTGAGGGTATCTTCTCGATTCTACGAATGGGGAGCTGAAGTACTGGGTAGATTAAGGGTTTTGCCCAGGTCTCCTGAGTCCCAGTCTAAAGCCCTATCCGCAGTCCACATACTTTATAGTAATTCTTAATGCCCATTATTGCTGTCACTGAGCCCATAGTGTTGTTTTGGTATTATATAAACACAATAACATGTATAAGCACACAAACAAAGAAAGCTAGGGAGAAAACAAGGTTGGCTTCCACTCATCAGGACAACCTGACTCAGGGTCTGCTTGACTCCTCCACTCACTCATGTAGTACGGTTGCTCTGCCTCTTGCAGATTGCCCACATGTGCACCCTAAGGGGTGGCATAGTTTTTCTGTCTGAATGTGCATGTGAACATAGATACATTGTTTTATGAACTTAGGACTTTGCTTGTTTTTTTGTTTGATGTCAGTCACAACATTTGAGACTCCCGAGAACATTGAATCTTACCTGGACAAACAAGTGATTGGACCAACCACTGAGATCCTGGCCAAGTCAGACTTCCCACTGCAAGCGTTTAAGCCAAAGGTGCAGCTTCCCTTTCAGGGGTTGCCAGGACAGTGCCCTCGGAAGATTGAGATAGAGAGGTAACCTCAAGAAGGGGGACAATGTGATAGCTGTTGTATACATCGAATAGCCACACAAGTACCAGATATTGAATTTCGCTCTGAAGATGCGGAAGTGCTATGTAGATAATGTTTCAAGAGGGACAGTGTTTTATTGTAGGGTTTAGCGTTACCCCTTGCCACCTGCACAACGCTGTTGACTTAGGCTGCGTAGAGAGAGGATCACATGTTGACAGAATGACTTAAGCTTATTTTGCTTTGTAGATGTTGGAGATGGGAAAGACCTCTGAGATCACCCAGCCCACCTCTGACAATGCAGGAATGATCCCCTAGAATAAATGTCTTAGGAAGGAATTTTCAAAGTGCTCAGCCTTGGCCTAACCCGGCTTCCACTGGGGTCAATGGTAAAACTCCCACTGAAGTCAGTGGGTGCAGAGTTAGGCCAACCCTGAGCGCTTTAGAAAATCTCACCCACAGTATGTTGTTCAGTAAGTATTAAAAGTTCCATTGGTCTGTTCTGCCTTCTGGGTAGTGTCCAATTGTTACTGCATTGGTGCCATATTGAACCTGTAGTTATTAGCACAGATGTTCTTCCCTGTAGCAGACTGAAAGACAATTGAATAATGACAATTCATATAACTTCATTAAGCATAACCATTCAATCTCATTGACGCCTAACTAGGAGAAGACGGCTATATCTCAAACTAGATATTGCTCAGCTCTTAGCCAAAAAGGGGATAGATTCCAATCAGCTGATGCCCAGGCACCAAGACCCTGACAATATGCCAGCCATTGAGCAAAAGAGAGATCCTCTCTTTCCCATCTACCTCCCACTGCAGGTAAGCGAGCAGCTTCAGAACTGTCATGTGCATTACTACTGACGCTCTCGGGACTCACTGAAAAGAGCAGGGCACATGATTTAGTAAGAAACAGATGAGCAGGTGACTATTTTAGAATAGAAGCCATGGGGGCTGGGATCCATCGGAGTCAATCTTGCACGGTGCTGAGCACCCCCTGTAAGTTAATGAGTGCCCACAACTTTAATTACAGTCAATGGGACTTGAAGGTGCTCAGCATCTCGCAGGACTGTTCCAAAGACAGTGGTTTAGGCTTCTTTAATACCATTATTACACAAATTCAGATTTCCTTCTGAATGCAACTGTCGGCAGCATTGGTTGCTGGGACTTCTCCAGTTGAGAGTCTCCTCCCCATCTCTACTATCTAGAAGAGAGGGACTAGTCTAGATGCCACCTTTGGAAATAAGTCCTTCATAAGGCAACACATTATGCAGTTTCTGCACCTTTGCTGTTTCCCCCGTTATATAAAATTCAGGGAGTGCGTGTTTCTTTTCCTCTCATAAATTTCTATGCCATGTTGTTATCTTCTTCCCCAAGCAGGGATTCATTTCCGTTGCTTACAATGTCTTGCCTATGTAGATATTTGATGATGAAGAGTATGACTGCCGGACTCCAGAAGAGTGGCTCTTGCTGGGGTTGGAGCCAGGATCTCAAGACAGAAAACCAGTTCCTGGAAAAGCACTTTTACCTACAGATGATCAACTGGGACACGGTAAAGCATGACTGAGCTATAGTTTGGGTGCTCTACACAGTGACATTGGGCTAATGACACTTACAGGATCGTTGCAATAGAATGGTTAGCATTTGGAATGGAACTTTCCAACTTAGATGAATATAATGCTGATGAATGGAACACAGAGATGATTAAATGAGAGTGAGTACTTGGGTAACAGGCTCTAGTGGTTAGAGGAGGGGACTAGGAGTAAGGAGAACTGAGTTCTGCTCTCAGATCTGCCACGCATTCATTGGATCTTGTTTTTAGAAATAGCTTCTGATTTTGCAACCACATTTCTGTGCCTGGAAATAATTGCAGGCTAATTTTATAGTACTTAAATGTTTATTCCCTGATCAGACCTGCAAATCAATAAGTTAGAAGTCTAAATACTATGAAACATGTCCGTGTTTACCTGTGGGTGCAAAACTGGAGGCCAAGTTGAGGGTCTACTGAAAATCGGAGCCACTGTGTGTGTTATCCAGTCCTGTTGTTCCAGAACTTAAACGACAGGAAGAACACATGGAGCAAATGTCAGGAAGCAATTGCATGCATGACTATTCTGCATTGTTGTGCTGGGCACTTTATTTTATGTATTTATTTATTTTTTAAAGAAATCTTCAGCTCAGAGCAAATGAGGTTGACCTTACGGGACATATGACAGTGAAGAGGAGCAACTTCAGCCCAGTTATTTTCATTGGGAAATACCTGAGAATCAACTAAACCCTTTTTAGAACATAAGAGCCTAAGAACAGTCATACTGGGTCAGACCAATGGTCCATCTAGCCAAGGATCTTGTGTTCCATTGGCCAGTGACAAATGCTTGAGAAGGAATGAACAGAACAGGGCAATTTATAGAGTAAAACATCTCCCGTCATCCAGTCCCAGCTCCTAGCACTCAGAGATTTAGGACACCCAGAGCAATGGGCTGTATCCCTGACTATATTGGCTAATAGCCTTGATGGACCTATCCACCATGAACTTATCTAATTCTTTTTTGAACCCACTTATACTTTTGGCCGTCACAACATTCCCTGACAATGAGCTCCGCAGGTTGACTGTGCGTTGTATGAAAAAGTACTTCCTTGGGTGACCCATGGTTATGTGTTTATCTTGTGTTATGTGAATAGATGGTTCACATGGTTATCTTGTATTATGTGAACGGATAAATAACACTTCTTTTTCACTTTCTCCTCACCATTCATGATTTGATAGGCCTCTATCATATCCCCCCTTAGTCATCTCTTTTCTAAGTTGAACAATCCCAGTCTTTTTAATCTCTGCTCACATGGAAGCTGTTCCATACCCCTAATCATTTTTGTTTCCATTCACTATGCTGCTTCCAATTCCAATATATCCTTTTTGAGATGGGGCAACCAGAACTGCACACAGTATGTGTGTGTACCGTGGCTTTATATAGTGGCATTGTGATATTTTCTGTCTTGTTATCTATCCCTTTCCTAATAGTTCCTAACATTCCATTAGTTTTTTTAATTGCCGCTGCACATTGCGCAGGTGTTTTTCAGAGAACTATCCAATCCACAATAACTCCAAGCTCTCTTTCTGCTGGTTACATCTCATTTAGACCTCATCATTTTGCATGAATAGTTGAGATTATGTTTTCCAATGTGCATTACTTTGTATTTATCAATGCTGAATTTCATTCACCATTTTGTTGCCCAGTCACCCAGTTTTATGAGATCCCTTTGTAAGTCCTCTCTGTCAACTTTGGACTTAGCTGTTGAGTGATTTTGTATCGTCTGCAAACTTTGCAACCTCAGTTAACCCCTCTTCCAGATCTTTTATGAATACATTGACGAGCACTGGTCCCAGTACATATCGTTGTGGGCCCTGGTATTTATCTCTCTCCACTGTGAAAACTGACCGTTTATTCCTACCCTTTGTTTCCTGTCTTTTAGCCAGTAACTGATCCATGAGAGAACCTTCCCTCTTATCCCATGACAGCTTACTTTGCTTAAGAGCCTTTGGTGAGGGACCTTGTCAAATGCTTTCTGAAAGTCCAAATACACAGTATCCACTGATCATACTGAACACCCTTTTCCACATGTATGTTGACTCCCTCAAAGAATTCTAATAGATTGGGGAGGCATGATTTCCCTTTTCAAAAACCATGTTGACTCTTCCCCAACACATCGTGTTCATCTGTGCTTCTGATAATTTTGTTCTTTACTATAGTTTCAACCAATTTGCCTGGTACTGAAGTTAGTCTTACAAGCCTGTAATTGCCAGGATCCCCTCTGGAGCTTTTTTTTTTTTTTTTTTTTAAATCAGCATTATATTAGCTATCCTCCAATCGGAGGCTGGTGCGGTAGGTGATGTATCACAGCTAGTAGTTCTGCAATTTCAACTTTTAAGTTCCTTCAGAATTCTTGGATGAATCCCATCTGGTCCTGGTGACTTATTACTGTTTAATTTATCAATTTGTGCCAAAACCTCCTCTATTGACACCTTAGTCTGGGACAGTTACTCAAATTTGTCACCTAAAAAGAATGGCTCGGGTGTGGGAATTTCCCTCACAACTTCTGCATTGAATACAGATACAAAGAAGTTATTTGGCTTCTCCTCGGTGGTCTTGTCTTCCTTGAGTGATCCTTTAGCACTGGTTGCTTGGCAGGCTTCCTGCTTTTGATGTATTTAAAAAAAAAATTGCTGTTAGTTTTTGTGCCTTTTGCTAGTTGCTCTTCAAATTCTTTTTTGGCTTGCCTAATTATATATTTATCCTTGACGTGCCAGAGTTTATGTTCCTTTCGATTTTCCTCAGTAGGATTTGACTTCCAATGTTTAAAAGATGTCTTTTTGTCTCTAACTGCCTCATTTACTCTGTTTAGCCATGATGATTTTGTTGTTGTTGTCTTACTGTTTGTTTGTTTTTATTTGTGGTTTACATATCCTTTTAGCCTCTATAATGGTGTTTTAAAAAATGTTTCCATGTGGCTTGCAGGCATTTTACTTTTGTGAATTGTAATGATTATATCTTTCATCAGAGGATCCCAAAAACCACGAGTTGATCTATAAGTGGGTCAGCGTTGGCGTCCTGGATTACGACAAGGAGACAAAACTGTACTTGGTACATAAGACAAACAAGAGGGGAATGGTACGGGATGAAGAAGGGAGGCCTATTCTAAATGGAGGAGTAACTCCAGAAGGTGTGTTCTGACTAGGGTTCATTAGGAGATGGGAGACGTTCATTTACCCCTGTTTGCTTCCTTTTCCACCACCAGGGCCCTGCATTGTGATAATACTTTTCCCTCTCCTTCCCCACCATTGGAGGGCTGGACATGATTCTTTCTGGAACCAATGCCATTCGGGGGTAATGTGGGTAATTTGGGGATATTCGAAGTACTCACCATTTGCAGAGGTTAAGGATGCTGCCATTTCAGCACTGCAATCCCCTGCCAACCGAGACCTGAACTCTGATTCCTCATTTGGCAGCCTCTTGTACTGCCACCACCCCATCAGCCTGACCTTGATTTTATATTCAATCTATTGGCTACAATAAATAGGGAATCTGATTTCTGCATTCACTGTGGACCCCAATGTGTGTTATTTATGTCTTCCCTTCTTTCCTCCCAGGGAGAGCCCCTCTTATGCCATGTCAGTACTGGGTGCCACGAGTCCGTCTGCTGTTTCTTGCGGAAGACCCCCATGTATTTGCCCAGCGAGTGGTTTCTGCCAATACCCTGTGTAAGGAAACACAGGCGCTGTTGCGGTACAATCTGTATGTGGACTGCATGCCCGTGGATGGGCTGAGGAGCATTGATGAGAAGAGCCTAGGTAGAATGAAGCAGCTGGCAATGAGCACTTCACACCTGAGAAAGGAGATACGGTGAGTATCCCATTGATTCTTCCCTGGGGGCTAGAAGAGGCTCATTGAAAGACTCAGATCATGGCTGTGCTTTCAGTGTACTGTACTGGATGTCTGCACAGTGTGACTGACTTCCCTGGGGTGCAACCTGGAACTGGGGTACTGCTGGGGTACCTTTGTCTTACTTACCTGGGCTCCCTCTCACACTGTGCTGCTCTCACACAAGCTGCAGATCCCTCCAGATCTGCCCTCACACAAACATTCACAGGCAGGGACACACCCAGCTGTGTTACATGAGTGCTTTTACCAGCCACCCATGAACCAATAATAGAGAGGCTCCAGCCAGTTCCCCACAGTTCCCCAGCCTAGGACCCCAGAGCTGTACTGTCTTGCCCTGGTCAGAAGCCTGACCAGTGTACGTTTATTACCCCATACACGCCTCCTTCAATGTGGAGAGGTCATTGCACCAGCCCCTGTTCTTGAGCAGATTTCCCTTTGGACTTCAAACAACACACCATTTTAGGTAAAAAAATATAAAACAAATTTATTAACTACAGAAAGATATAATCACTTAAAAATCTAAGAAATAACATACAGGTCAAAGTTGGTTACCTAAGAAATAAAATAAAATTGCAATCTAAGTTCTATACACTAGGTAGGATTTGAATCAAGAAGTGTCTCACCCTGATGGTACAAACAGTCCACTAATCTTCCATACACAGGCTAGAAATCCCTCAGCCTGGGACCACATCCTCAGTTCAGTCCTTGTTCCTAAGGTTCCAGGTGTTGAGTTGTGGGGGGAGTGAGGCCAAGTGATGATGTCACTTCCCCCTTTATAGTTTCTGCCTTGTGGAGGGAACTTCATTGTCCCAAACAAAGCCCCCAGCACAGTTAGTGGAAAAGTATAGGCACAAGATGGAGTCCTGTGTCACATGAGCTGGTCACATGCCCTTGCATACTTCAATGAATCATGGCAGGGGCCATTACCTATATTCTGGCTAGAACATTCACAGAAAAGTTCATCAGGTGGGAGTAAGCTTCTTTTATGGCCTATTGTATTTCCTGATGGGCCATCACCTTGAATGGTTTATCCACAATGTGCTGGCAAGACTGGATGTAAACTACCTTGTGGGTGTTAACCAGGAGCAAACACATTTGAAATACTGGTATAAAGTCAATATTTCTAACTTCAGATACAAAAATGATACTTGCATACAAATAGGATAATCATATTCAGCAAACCATAACTTTTCCATTGACACCTCACATGACATATTTTGTACAAGATTTGTTGCAATTATATAACACTGGTGAATATGGGAGCGCCAGGGTGTTGCTTTGGGTACAGAGTGTCACAGTAGGATAATGCCGAGAGACGGAAACTTTCATAGGAGCTGCACATTTTCAGTTACAGGCACTGGAAACAGCTTCCAGAGCACAGATTGTCAACGGTCCCTACATTAGGCTATGGACGACCAGCTCTCTGCAGAGTGCTTCCTGGTGGTCAGCAGAGAGCTGTCCCGTTGTCTGGTGCCAGCTGCCTTTGTGGCTGATCGTCAAATTAAAAGAAAATATGCATAGGGATCTTGTGTAATCAAATAGAAAAGGAAAGGAGTAACCTGGTTAGAAATGAGACAGTTTCTCTGCTGAGATACAGCCTAGGCTAGGGAAAAGTTTTAGAGTCCCTGGGCTTACTGAATCATCATCTACCAGTGGTGGTATTGCCTTCAGTCCCTTGGAATGAACAACTGCATTGACCCCCTTCAGAAACGTGGAGGTGTGAAGAGCTGTGTGGTCTAGCAGCCTTGACTGGAGAGTAAGGTCTCTGTTTATGAACAGAGATGTAGCCAGAGAGAAGTACTCTGCTTGGAGTGAAAGACAATAACATTATAGGATAATGGCAGCTGGAGTTCATGATCAGGAAAATCAGGAATTTTATACTTTCAGTAAATATTCGGAGGAGCATTTGGGAAGACGGCACATATACCTCAAGCATTCTTAGCATTCACACACAGCTTTCTCCAACCCTTAGGTTGTTTTTCTTCCCCCTTTGTAATACTTTTCTTCTCACATCCCTCTGTCCAAACCTTATTTCCCTTCCACTTTGTTCTGTAGCAGCGATTCAGATATGATGATCCTAATCAGCTGCTAGTCAGTTTCACTTTGCTGCAACCAGTGCAAGCAGAACAGACTAGTACGGAGACAGCTTAACAACTGGAGGGCAAGGAGGAGAGAGAAAGGAGTGCTAGTTCTGGTTTCAAATCTGGTCCTCTCTCACACTCACATACCACCCAGCTGGTTGGGACACCTTTGCAACGTCACTATTTTGTCCTGTGGCCCCACACTCTGCCAATGAACCTCAAACCTGCAGCATTATCTGCTGTTCTGTTCCTGGGCCTCCATAGCTCTGCTAATGTAATTCAGATATTTTTAGTGAGCAAGCTAAGTGTAAGTGAACCCAGGAGAAATAAATTGGGGATAAGGCTTTGAGGATTGGTGCAGATCTGAGTGGTCACTGTTTATTCATTTTATAATCGTCATCAGTGTGTTGAACTGTCTGCAATGCCTGGAAAAGGAGGTGAGCCTAGACTATGAACGCACCATGAACAAGATTATCTTTGATGGAGTCATCACATCCAAGCCCCAGACGTTTTCATATGTCACCCTGCCAGAGAAAGAGGAGGAGAAGGTGCCAGAAAGAGGTATGGGATCTGGTGAAGAAAGTTGTGCTCCAGTTGGGTTGCAAGGATCCTTCTGTGAATTGATTTCTTCATTATTGTGGGAGACTTTCAGACACACAGGTTTATAATGCAAGAGGATGTACAAGGTGGTATGTTTGCCAGTTATTCTGGGGGACCAGCAGACAGCCAAATTAGATGCATGCATGGAGAACTCCTTTACATTAGTGGGTTAGGTTATGAATGATCCTTGGAAACTGTATATATGTATCTGGGAACAGAATTTGTCCTTGGCACTTTGAGTGAGATTGCACAAGCTGAGGCATTCCATGGGCAGTCCAGCTTTATTAACAGTGGCTGGAATGCTGGGGGCAAACAGTGGAGGTTTCAAGGCCATGTTTGGGAGCGAGGAGGCCTCTCATTTTCATTCATGTTCAGAATCTTGATTTCTTCTTTGTGGCAGCCTCTGCACAGTCCCATTGTGGGACATGGCCCCCACCCCTGGGCCATTCCTGCCATAACAAAAAGAACCTCATGATGGAGGACCTATGAGTCAGAACATCAGAACTGTCCTGGGGTCAGGGCTCCATTTCTGTGCACGGACAGGGCAGATGTTTGTTAGTTATGAAGTCCCCTAAAGTGGGGAAGTGGAACCTTTGGTGCCAACACCAGCCCTTTCATCCAGCTTCAAATAGGCAGAACACTTGGTGTCTGCTGGGACTACTTATGTATGTAAGGACTACTCACATGAGTAAAGTGTTATGGGATCAAGCCATATGTTGGTCCCAACTTAAAAAGGGATTGCAAATGCTCTTCCTCTTAAAATGACACACTCTCTTTTGCTGGCAGGGCTGGTCAAGATCCCAGACTATCCATTTGATGAGCAACGGGCATCTTTTATTTTTGTCTCGCTACTGACCAGGCCAGAAGTCATCCTTGCCTTATCGCAGGTGCGGGATGAGTGCAACAAAGCTGCAGCCATGTCTCTGTTTCATTCAACCTTGTCTAAGTATGGCCGGCTAGAGGAGTTTGAACAGATCCAGACGCAGACCTTCACCCAGGTAAGGAAGGGCAGGGAGGGAACATTCGCTTAAGGGGAGGGGAGATACAGAACAATCAACAGGGCTCTTAGCATATACCAACCAGACCAAGCCAGACAGATCTTAGCAATTGTATAATTGATTTATTGCAACTGGACAAAGCTTTTCTAAAAAACATGGAGCAAAATCTGCATTGTAGATTTCCAAATTGTTGTTCCTTCTCCCCTTATTGTTATAAGGAACCAGAGCTTTGATTCCACTAAAAATACTGATTTTTCTTAAGATCCCCTCACTTCTTTAACCACAGGGATAATGAAAAAACAGAATTTTTCTGAGTTCTTATTAGTTTTGTTAGATTTTTTTCACACTATTTAGTGAAAAAGTTTTAGTTACTAACAACCATAGAGTAAAACAATAAAACCTTATAAATCTCTTCTATCTTTCGTCAGAGGACTTTCATACACTGTACGAGGCTGCTTTATCCTCATGGGAAACTGAGGCAGGGAGAAGTTGAGAGACTTGCCCAAGGCCACCCAATCTGGGATATGAACCAGCCCGGAAAAGAGTGTTTCATTTTAATAGGCAGAGTGTTTACAGTGACTCCTCACTTAACGTCCTACCGCTTAACGTTGTTTCAAAGTTATGTCGCTGCTCAATTAGGGAACATGCTCGTTTAAAGTTGTGCAATGCTCCCTTATAACGTCGTTTGGAGGCCTGCTCTGTCCACTGCTTGTAAGATTCTGTGGAAGAGCAGCAACTTTACAAGGGAGCATTGAACAAGTTCCTCTTCTCCACCTCCTCCTCCTCCCTACCAGCGCTTCCCCCACTGCCAAACAGCTGGGAGGGAGGGGGAGGAGCGGGGAAAGGCCGTGTCTCCACTCCTCCCCCTCCCTCCCAGAAAGTCCTAAGTGCATAGCGCTGGGAGGGAGGGGGAGGAGCGGGGAAGCGCCGCGTCTTCGCTCCTTCCCTCCCCCACCCCAAAAGTTCTAAGCGCCTCCAAACAGCTGTTTGGTGGCACTTAGGACTTTCGGGGGTGGGAGGGAAGGAGCGGGGATGCGGCGTGCTCCGGAGAGGAGGTGGAGTGGGGGTGGGAAGAGGTGGACCTGGAGTGGAGCGGGGACAGGAAGAGGCGGGCCTGGAGCATTCCTGGCAAAGTCGGTGCCTGTTCTTCTCTGGGGAAGCTGCCTCTGCTGCTGCGAAGGTGTTTCCTAATGTCCTTGCCTGCAGCTGGCTGTGCCTGTGTGGGGTAAGCCAGGAGCACTTCCCAACCATAGTACAGTACAGTACTGTACAGTATATAATGCCTTTTTGTCTGCCCCCCAAAAATTTCCTTGGAACCTAACCCCCCGCATTTACATTAAATCTTATGGGAAAATTGGATGTTTAACATCGTTTCACTTAAAGTTGCATTTTTCAGGAACATAATTACAACGTTAAGTGAGGGGTTACTGTATAAGAACCCCAACCCTCCTGACCCTCAGTCCTGTACTCTATCAATGAGAAAATGCTGTCTCCCTTTGCACTGTTGAAATTTGATTTCTACACGCAAATAGCAGAAGTCCATATAACAAGTTTGACTCTTAGGCCTGGTCTACACTAGGAGTTTATGTCGAATTTAGAAGCGTTACATCGAATTAACTCTGCACCCGTCCACACAACGAAGCTATTTAGTTCGACATAGAGGTCTCTTAAATTCGACTTCTGTACTCCTCCCCAACGAGGGGAGTAGCGCTAAATTTGACATGGTCATGTCAAATTAGGCTAGGTGTGGATGGAAATCGACGGTAATAGCTCTGGGAGCTATCCCACAGTGCACCACTCTGTTGACGCTCTGGACAGCAGTCCGAGCTTGGATGCTCTTACCAGCCACACAGGAAAAGCCCTGGGAAAATTTGAATTCCTTTTCCTGTCTGGGCAGTTTGAATCTCATTTCCTGTTTGGACATCTTGGCGAGCTCAGCAGCACTGGCAACGATGCAGAGCTTCCCAGCAGAGATGGCCATGCAATCTCAGAATAGAAAGAGGGCCCCAGCATGGACTGATCGGGAAGTCTTGGATCTGATCGCTGTGTGGGGCGATGAGTCCATGCTTTCCGAGCTGCGATCGAAAAAACGGAATGCAAAGATCTACGAGAAGATCTCAAAAGCCATGGCAGAGAGAGGATACAGCCGGGATGCAACGCAGTGCCGCGTGAAAATCAAGGAGCTGAGACAAGGCTACCAGAAGACCAAAGAGGCAAACGGACGCTCCGGATCCCAGCCCCAGACATGCCGTTTCTACGAGGCACTGCATTGCATTCTAGGTGCGGCCGCCACCACTACCCCACCACTGACCGTGGACTCTGAGGATGGGATATTGTCGACGGCCGGTTCCTCGGACATGTTAGCGGACGGGGAAGATGAGGAAGGAGATGAGGAGGACGAGGCAGTCGACAGCGCTTACAACGCTGATTTCCCCGACAGCCAGGATCTCTTCATCACCCTTACAGAGATCCCATACCAGCCATCCCCAGGCGTTAACCTGGACACAGAATCAGGGGAAGGATCTGTTGGTAAGTGTTTTAAACATGTAAACATTTATTTTTAACAGAACAGGAATATTAACAATATTAACAATGGGTTTTGTATGATTACTTTGCCCTAGGCGCTTAACGTTTCAGTACTTGGCAGTGCAACTACTGAAAAAAATCTAACAATGTCCGCTTTAGCATGATTGGTTTGCCCTAGGCGCTCTACTGTTTAGTCCCTGCCAGTGCAGCTACAGTAAAATCCGGTCTATATGTCCGGGGATAGAGCAGTAATCCTCCTGGGACATCTCCACGAAGCTCTCCTGGAGGTAATTGGAAAGCCTTTGCATCAGGTTCCTGGGGAGAGCGGCCTTATTGGGTCCTCCGTGGTACGAAACGTTTCCGCGCCAGGAGACAAGCAAGTACTCCGGGATCATTGCCTTGCAGAGCATGGCGGCATATGGCCCTGGTCTTTGCATGCTTTCCCGAAGCATTCTTTCTTTCTCCGTCTCTGATATCCTCATCAGAGTGATGTCGCTCATGGTGACCTGCTTTGAATTAGGTAGGGGAATGTTAGTATTGGGACTGCTTGCCTGTTCCTTTACAGAACTGTAACCGGCGGTTTACAGCCACGCGGTGGAGGCGGGAGAGGGGCAGCATACAGGGATCTTTCCCTGGGACAGCCGCGAGGGGGTGGGACAGGGGCAGAGTTCATGCTTGCCGGATTGCTGGCAGCAGGGACTGGCATTGCTTTGAACGTGAAAGGAGGCCAGTGCTATTATTAAAGTTTTAAGCAGCCACAAGTCTACGGCTTACCATGTCGGCCTGCTACACAAATTCTGCTGTCCTGCCCCGCTTGTCTGATCTGCACTGCAAGACCCCAGGCACTGAATGCAAAGGCCGAAAATTCGACCTTGTCCTGAGTGCGCATGTGATAGGTGCTGTGCATGGTCTTGTTCACAGCGAAAGACTATGTTATTTGTTCACAACTAAATTTATCTTTCTGAGGAATTCACTCCCTTTTTCCCATCCCACAGCTGCGACTGTCTCCCGACCTACCCTGGCATCACACTCCCAGAGGCTAGCGCAGATTAGGCGTAGGAAGAAGAGGACACGGGAGGACATGTTCTCGGAACTTATGGTCTGCTCCCGAGCCCAGGCAGCCCAGCAGACCCAGTGGAGGGAGAACTTGTCCCAAATCCACCGATCACACATTGAACGGGAGGAGAGGTGATGGCAGGAAGACCAGCAGGCGACTCAAACGCTGCTTGGACTAATGAGGGAGCAAACGGACACGCTCCGGCGCCTTGTGGATGTTCTGCAGGACCGGAGGCAGGAGGACAGAGCCCCGCTGCAGTCTATCTCTAACCGCCCTCCCCCGCCACAAAGTCCCATACCCCCCTCACCCAAAGTCCCAAGAAGGAGGGGCGGCAGAGTCCGTGAAAACTCTCACTCCACCCCTGCAGACTGCTCAAGTACCAGAAGGCTGTCATTCCCCAAAATTTGATAAGCCCTTTCCTTCCCGCCTCACCCAAGCCCCCGTCCCAGTTTCATCCCCCAGTTTCATGTGTAGTTGCTAATAAAAAATACGTTTCTGTTAATTACTGTTTCCATCATGTTCTTTTACAGGAGAGTCTGTTTGAAGGGGGGGAAGGGGTTGGTAATTGGACAGGACAGTCACCTTTACCAGGGTACAGACGCGGGGGCAGGTTCAGCAGCAGGGCACACACACATTGCAGTCACTAGTTACCCTGGTCAGTCTGGGAGGTGGTTTTGATGTTCTGTGTGTGGGGGGGGGCTATGTCACTTTGTGGCAGGGGAGGGCGGTTAGAGATCTTATGCAGCGGTCCTTATCCTGGATCACAGAGCCACGCAGCAGGGGATCTGTAACCGTCCTCCCCCTGCCACAAAGTCACATAGCCCCCACACACAGAGTCCCGAACAGGAGGGGTGTCAGGCTCCGTTGAAACAACCAGTCCACCAGTGCGGAGCCTGTCATTCCTCGAGTTTAGAAGCGTCCTTTGCATCACTACACTACACCCGCTCCCCACCACAGTCTGCGTCCCAGGTTCAACACTTTACCGCGAAAACAGTAATAAAGAAAACGGTGTTCATTAACAAATTTCAAGTGATTTTATTTTTAAACGTGTGTTGGAAGGGGGGCAACGGGGTTAAGGGGGTATGTAACTGGAGAGGATAGTGAACATTAATCGGGTAAAGAAACGGGGGCAGGTTCAGCTTCTCTGTAAACAAACTTAATAGTCACAGGTTACCCTGCTCACTCAGGAACCTAGCTTTCAAAGCCTCCCGGATGCAGAGTGCGTCCCGCTGGGCTCTTCTAATCGCACGGCTGTCTGGCTGGGCGTAATCAGCAGCCAGGCTATTTGCCTCAACCTCCCACCCCGCCATAAAGGTCTCCCCCTTGCTCTCACAGAGATTGTGGAGCACACAGCAAGCTGCAATAACAATGGGGATATTGGTTTCGCTGAGATCAGAGCGAGTCAGTAAGCTTCTCCATCTCCCCTTGAGACGGCCAAAAGCACACTCCACCACCATTCTGCATTTGCTCAGCCAGTAGTTGAAGAGTTCTTTTTCAGTGTCCAGGGTGCCTGTATAGGGCTTCATGAGCCAGGGCATTAGCAGGTAGGCTGGGTCCCCGAGGATCACTATAGGCATCTCCACATCCCCAACAGTTATTTTGTGGTCCGGGAAGTAAATACCTTCCTGCAGCCGTCTAAACAGACCAGAGTTCCTGAAAACACGAGCGTCATGAACCTTGCCCGGCCATCCGACGTTGATGTTTGTAAAACATCCCCTATGGTCCACCAGTGCTTGCAGCACCATTGAAAAGTAGCCCTTTCGGTTAATGTACTGGCTGGCCTGGTGGTCCGGTCCCAGGATAGGGATGTGAGTTCCATCTATAGCCCCACCGCAGTTTGGGAATCCCATCGCGGCGAAGCCATCTATGATGACCTCCACGTTTCCGAGGGTCATTACCTTTGAGAGCAGTAGCTCAACGATTGCGTTGGCTACTTGCATCACAACAACCCCCACGGTAGATTTGCCCACGCCAAAGTGGTTCGCGACTGACCGGTAGCTGTCTGGCGTTGCAAGCTTCCAGAGGGCTATGGCCACTCGCTTCTGGACAGTCAGGGCTGCTCGCATCTGGGTGTCCTTGTGCTTCAGGGCAGGGGACAGCAACTCACAAAGTTCCAGGAAAGTCCCCTTCCGCATGCGAAAGTTTCGCAGCCACTGTGATTCATCCCAGACCTGCAGCACTATGCGGTCCCACCAGTCCGTGCTTGTTTCCCGGGCCCAGAATCACCGTTCCACAACATCAACATGACCCATTGCCACCATGATGTCCTTGGCGCGGGGTCCCGTGCTTTGTGACAGGTCTGTGCCACTCTCAGAGTTCAGGTCCTCACTGCGCTGCCGTAGCCTCCTCGCCCGATTTCTCAGCATCTGCCTCTGGGAAAGGTGGATGATAAGGTGCAAGGTGTTGACAACGGCCATAACTGCAGCGATGGTCGCAGCGGGCTCCATGCTCGCAGTGCTGTGGCGTCCGCGCTGTCACTGACCAGAAAAGTGCGCGAACTGATTTCCCGCCGGCGCTTTCAGGGAGGGAGGGCGGGAGTGACGGTTGGATGATGACAGTTACCCAAAACCACCCTCGACACATTTTTTTCCCCAGAAGGCATTGGGGGCTCGACCCAGAATTCCAATGGGCAGCGGGGACTGCGGGAACTGTGGGATAGCTGCCCACAGTGCACCGCTTCCAATGTCGACGCTTGCCCCGTTAGTGTGGACTCACAAAGTCGAATTACTGTCCTTAGTGTGGATACACACGTTCGACTTTGTAATATCGATTCCACATATTCGATTTAAGTAAAATCAAACTACTCTCGTAGTGTAGACATACCCTTAGTAGCATTTTAATGAATCAAAGCATTGCAGGAGTCTGCTGCCCTTCAGTTAGCACCTTCCGATCACTTTAATCAGTTCCAAAAGAAGACAAATGTGCATCCCTCATTTCTCAGTCATATTTTACAGAGAGTTTTATGGGGGACCCCTATGAAATACAGCTTCTGATACTGTTCTGTAGAAAACTATGGGGAATAGTAAATTGGAAACTAGGAGCAGGGCCGGCTCCAGGCACCAGCTTAACAAGCAGGTGCTTGGGGCGGCCACTCCGGAGGGGGGTGGCACGTCCAGCTATTTGGCGGCAATTCGGCGGAGGGTCCCTCACTCCGGCTCGGAGTGAAGGACCTCCTGCCGAATTGCCATCGCAGATCGCGGCTTTTGGGGAGGGGCCTGCTTGGGGCGGCAAAAACCCTGGAGCCAGCCCTGACTAGGAGAGCGGTAAATAATGAAGAGGACTGATCCAGAGCAATCTGGATTACTTGGTAAACTGGGCACAAGCAAACAATGTATTTTAAGATGGCCAAATGTAAAGTCATACATATCAGAAAACAGAATGTAAGCCATACTTACAAGCTGCAGGGACTCTGTCCTTGGTAAGTTGTAGTGGATTCTCCATCTCTGGATGTTTCTCTAAAAGACATACCCTAGATCAAAGAAGTATTTCAGGGAAGTTCTGTGACCTGTGTTATGGAAGATGTCAGACTAAAAGATGATCATAATGGTCCCCTCTGGTCTAATTTGTAACAACAGGGATAGAAAGCAGAAGCTTAGGTGAAATGGAGAAGCACAGCTCTACTGTTTTCTCAACAGCAGGCCTTTTCATGACCCTTTGTTAAGGAACTAGATATATAATATGTTGGGTATGTATCCATAAATATGAGGGTTATTGATCAACCAAAATGGATCGGAGATGACAGGACTTGTTTCACAGCAGATTGGTATTGGACTGGGCACTAGTGGTCCCTGCCAGTGGTCAATAGTCGCCCTATTGTTTTCCCATCAGTCCTCTGAGGATAAATTCTTCACTGCATGTTTCTTTGTTCTAGGTTCAGATGTTTCTCAAGGACACCTGGATCAATACTCTCAAGATAGCAGTAAAGAGCAGTCTGAGGGAGATTGGTAAAGGGTGGTACAATCTGTATCAGTCCAACTGGGGTGTATACCAGATGTCCAAGCTACATAAGCTGATGGAGCTCATCAAGTTCAACTTGCAAGACTCTGTGCGCTTCCTGGTCCAGGACTCCCTGGTCAGCTTCACTCAGCTTTTGCTGGATGCTTGCAGCAATGTCCTGAATTGCTCGGAGGATATGGAATGGGGAGGGGACCTCATCAACAGCCCATACAAGTAAGGAGGGGAGAGATGAGAGATTAGGCTTGGGGGAGAACAGGGGAGCAGGGAAGAATATCCATCTCTTTGTATTTATAATTACCATAGATTTTTACAGTGACACTTTGCATTTGGGTTGGGGTTTCATGGTGGTGCTTATGATGAAGAGCAACTCATTCCATCCCTCTCTCTTGACATGTCTCCAGCACAAACCCTGGAGCCAGGGGAGGAAGGTATAGAGCTGGGCTAATCCCCAGCTGTCCTGTTAGTGCAGGCCTTATTGGAGGCCAGGATCTGGTTCAGTATTTTCAATGCACTTTACTAATGTTAGCTAATGAATTCTCTCAACACCCCAGGGAGGAAGGTGACCACTACTAGTTCCATTTTAGAGCCTGGGGAAGTGAATAAGGCCATATGGCTGGTCAGTTACACTGTTGGGATTTAAACACACAGCGCAATAGCAGTGTTGCGGGTGCCATTCTTTCTGCAAACAGCCACGTAACACCCCATCTCCTCCCTTTGCAGGCCACGAAAGAATCCTCTCTTCGTGGTGGATCTGATTCTGGATAACAGTGGGGTTCACTTCAGCACACCTCTGGAGAACTTCGAGACCTCCCTCATTTCTCTGTTCGACAAGGGAATCCTGGCGACCCACACCATACCACAACTGGAGACGGTGCGTTACTCTGAGGAAATATTAATATGACAGAGACTAAGTGGCAATATAACATAGACTAGAGACCCAGAATGTATGGCAGCTGATGAGGGTGGAATCATGAATGGCAATAGCATGTAGACTAGTGGCCTCAGACCTGTTAGGGAAAGTCCCTTTGGAGTATGTCCTCATCTCGCTGTTGAGAGGGATATTTGTCTTCCAAGATCCTCCCATCTTTCCTCTATATTTATCTTTTTATTGGGGCTGGGGTTGGATGAATGAAGTAATTCCTGATGCAATGGAGAAGGATGGACTACATAACCTTCTAGAGGTACCTTCCCTCCTGATGATGATTGTATGACCCATCTTACAGAGCAATACATTGTGGAGAATGTGAGTTCTTCACGCTGTTAAACCTGTTCCCCTGCTGGAGACCGAGAACCGGCAGGGTGATCCCTGCTTGTTTTGAGTGACCTCTCCTTTTGCACTCTTCCAGTATGTGCTGGAGAACATGTTTATTAGAGGCACACCACTGCTGGAGTCGGTGGGCCTGCACGAGCCCCCTGTGGAAGAACTGCGCAACACTATCCGATCTGCCATCTGCAAGGCAGTGATCCCGCTCCAAGCCTATGCCAAGCAGTATGAGAACCAGTTAGAGCTGAATAATAATGACATCAATTCCTTTCTAAAGTAAGTAACATCAAGAGGAGACACCACAGTCCTGACTTACATGTCCTTAGAAACTTATTACTACAGTACATCCCCATCTCATGTATCCTTGCTTAAGTGTGTGTGTATGTATTCGCTGTTCTGTGCTCGCAAAAGTGTGTGGCATGCACTTCAGTGAACAGGTACAAGGAGTGAGCAGAAGGAGACTTCACTGATTGGAAGGCATGAGATGCACTGTCCTAGGGATGTGGGTTCCACGACCACCACTCCCCAGAGAAGGAGGCAGGTGGTGGTGGTCGGGGACTCCCTCCTAAGAGGGACTGAGTCATCTATCTGCCGTCCTGACCGGGAAAACCAAGAAGTGTGCTGCTTGCAAGGAGCTAGGATTCACGATGTGACAGAGAAACTGCTGAGACTCATCAAGCCCTCGGATTTCTACCCCTTCCTGCTTCTCCTCGTGGGCACCAACGAGACTGCCAAGAATGACCTTGAGTGGATCACTGCAGACTACGTGGCTCTGGGAAGAAGGATAAAGGAGTTTGAGGTGCAAGTGGTGTTCTTGTCCATCCTCCCTGTGGAAGGAAAAGGCCCAGATAGAGACCATCAAATCACGGAAATCAACGAATGGCTACGCATGTGGTGTCGGAGAGAAGGCTTTGGATTCTTTGACCATGGGATGGTGTTCCAAGAAGAAGGATTGCTAGGCAGAGACGGGCTCCACCTAATGAAGAGAGGGAAGAGCATCTTCGCAAGCAGGCTGGCTAACCTAGTGAGGAGGGCTTTAAACTAGGTTCACCGGGGGAAGGAGACCAAACCCCTGAGGTAAGAGGGGAAGTGGGATACCAGGAGGAAGCACAAGCAGGAGAGCACAAGAGAGCACTGAGAAAGCAGGACAATCAGCGAGTTATCTTAAATGCCTACACACAAATGCAAGAAGCCTAGGAAACAAGCAGGGAGAACTGGAAGTCCTGGCACAGTCAAGGAATTATGATGTGATTGGAATAACAGAGACTTGGTGGGATAACTCACATGACTGGAGTACTGTCATGGATGGATATAAACTGTTCACGAAGGACAGGCAGGGCAGAAAAGGTGGGGGAGTTGCATTATATGTAAGAGAGCAATATGACTGCTCAGAGCTCCGATATGAAACTGCAGAAAAACCTGAGAGTCTCCGGATTAAGTTTAGAAGCGTGAGCAACAAGGGTGATGTTGTGGTGGGAATTTGCTATAGACAACCAGACCAGGGGGATGAGGTGGACGAGGCTTTCTTCAGGCAACTAACAGAAGTTACTAGATCAGACGCCCTGGTTCTCATGAGGGACTTCAATCACCCTGATATCTGCTGGGAGAGCAATACAGCGGTGCACAGACAATCCAGGAAGTTTTTGGAAAGTGTAGGGGACAATTTCCTGGTGCAAGTGCTGGAGGAACCAACTAGGGGCAGAGCTCTTCTTGACCTGCTGCTCACAAACAGGAAAGAATTAGTAGGGGAAGCAAAAGTGGATGGGAACCTGGGAGGCAGTGTCCATGAGATGGTTGAGCTCAGGATCCTGACAAAAGGAAGAAAGAAGAGCAGCAGAATACGGACCCTGGACTTCAGAAAAGCAGACTTTGACTCCCTCAGGGGACTGATGGGCAGGATCCCCTGGGAGAATAACATGGGGGGGGAAGGAGTCCAGGAGAGCTGGCTGTATTTTAAAGAAACCTTATTGAAGTTGCAGGAACAAACCATCCCGATGTGTAGAAAGAATAGTAAATATGGTAGGCAATCAGTTTGGCTTAACAGTGAAATCCTTGCTGATCTTAAACACAAAAAAGAAGCTTACAAGAAGTGGAAGCTTGGACAAATGACCAGGGAGGAGTATAAAAGTATTGCTCAGGCATGCAGGAGTGAAATCAGGAAGGCCAAATCACAATTGGAGTTGCAGCTAGCAAGGGATGTTAAGAGTAACAAGAAGGGTTTCTACAGGTATGTTAGCAACAAGAAGAAAGTCAAGGAAAGTGTGGGCTCCTTACTGAATGAGGGAGGCAACCTAGTGACAGAGGATGTGGAAAAAGCTAATGTACTCAATGCTTTTTTTGCCTCTGTCTTCACGAATAAGGTCAGCTCCCAGACTACTGCACTGAGAAGCACAGCATGGGGAGGAGGTGACCAGCCCTCTGTGGAGAAAGAAGTGGTTCAGGACTATTTAGAAAAGCTGGATGAACACAAGTCCATGGGGCCAGATGCACTGCATCCGAGGGTGCTAAAGGAATTGGCGAATGTGATTGCAGAGCCATTGGCCATTATCTTTGAAAACTCATGGCGATTGGGGGAGGTCCCAGATGACTGGAAAAAGGCTAATGTAGTGCCCATCTTTAAAAAAGGGAAGAAGGAGGATAACTACAGGTCAGTCAGCCTCACCTCAGTCCCTGGAAAAATCATGGCACAAATCCTCAAGGAATCAATTCTGAAGCACTTAGAGGAGAGGAAAGGTGATCAGGAACAGTCAGCATGGATTCACCAAGGGCAAGTCATGCCTGACTAACCTAATTGCCTTCTATGATGAGATAACTGGCACTGTGGATGATGGGAAAGCAGTGGATGTGTTATTCCTTGACTTTAGAAAAGCTTTTGATACGGTCTCCCACAGTATTGTTGCCAGCAAGTTAAAGAAGTATGGGCTGGATGAATGGACTATAAGGTGGATAGAAAGCTGGCTAGATCATCGGGCTCAATGGGTAGTGATCAATGGCTCCATGTCTAGTTGGCAGCTGGTATCAAGCGGAGTGCTCCAAGAGTGTTCTGGGGCTGGTTTTGTTCAATATCTTCATTAATGGTCTGGAGGATGGCGTGGGTTGCACCCTCAGCAAGTTTGCAGATGACACTAAACTGGGAGGAGTGGTTGATACGCTGGAGGGTAGGGATAGGATACAGAGGGACCTAGACAAATTAGAGGATTGGGCCAAAAGAAATCTGATGAGGTTCAACAAGGACAAGTGCCGAGTCCTGCACGTAGGACGGAAGAATCCCAATAGTGTGCCCTTGTTGCCAAGAAGACTAACGGCATTTTGGGCTGTATAAATAGGAGCATTGCCAGCAGATCGAGGGACGTGATCATTCCCCTCTATTCGACATTGATGAGGCCTCATCTGGAGTACTGTGTCCAGTTTTAGGCCCCACACTACAAGAAGGATGTGAAAAAATTGGAAAGAGTCCAGCCAAAGGGCAACAAAAATGATTAGGGGGCTGGAGCACATGACTTACGAGGTGAGACTGAGGGAACTGGGATTATTTAGTCTGCAGAAGAGAAGAATGAGTGGGGATTTGATAGCTGCTTTCAACTACCTGAAAGCGGGTTCCAAAGAGGATGGATCTAGACTGTTCTCATTGGTAGCACTAGCAGATGACAGAACACGGAGCAATGGTCTCAAGTTGCAGTGAGGGAGGTTTAGGTTGGATATTATGAAAAACTTTTTCACTAGGAGGGTGGTGAAGCACTGGAATGGGTTACCTAGGGAGGTGGTGGAATCGCCTTCCTTAGAGGTTTTTAAGGCCCGGCTTGACAAAGCCCTGGCTGGGATGATTTAGTTGGAGATTGGTCCTGTTTTGAGCAGGTGTTTGGACTAGATGACCTCCTGACGTCCCTTCCAAACCTGATATTCTATGATTCTAAGGGATTAGCCATACCAAATCAGAACACTGGTGCATCAAATCCAGCCTCCAATAGTGGCCAATAACTGATGCTTTCAGAGGAAGGCAAAATAGTTACGGGTGGAATGCTGTATATTGTTGGTAGCAGTGGGCATTCCTGTCTGCCCCTGACAACAGTCAAATTCCCTTCTGATCTTATTGGTCAGAAAATTACTCACCCCTTTTGACAATCTAGTTAGCGTGTTTGTCCTCCTGCAACTCTGCCTTTTCAGGCTGATGACATGGTGTAGGAAGTAGCATTTCCCTTTGTTTCAACCTGCCTGTTCCCACTGCTAAAACCCCCATCCACACCTCAGTCATCCTTTTGCCTCATTTACTTTCACCTTCTTCTTTTCAGGCCTCCTGTCCTCGCCAGTCTTTAAATTGAGCTTTAAAACCCATTCTCTCTTCCTTGAACAGTTGTCAGTTGGGTTATTGTGGGGTGTCATCTCTATCTTAGATTGTAAGCTCTCAGAGGCAGGGAATGCATCTCACTCTATGGTTCTAAAATATGTAAATTCAGAGAAATCTGTGGGTTTTTAATAATAAATGCACCTGTCATTAATTTCATCTCCTGAACTTTTGGACAAAGGTCTAATGACATCTATGTGAATGTGTATATATGGCATGTAGGGATGAGTGTTCTCACGCGCTGTATGGTATGGGTTGGCTTGTCTTTGATTATATTTCTGGTTGTAGAGAGTACCAAGCCCAATGCCCCTCTGCCCAGGATGTGAGAAATATAGTAAACCTGCACTTGTCTGAAAAGGAGATGCTGGACAACACTCTGCCAAGCTCCATCATCATCGGTCCCTTCTACGTCAGCATTGAAGGTGTCAAGCAAAATCTGTCCAAAAAACGCAAAGCCCTAGCCACCTCCATGTTGGACCTACTGGCTAAGAACCTACACCTACAGGTGGAAAATGTAAGTTTCACACTTCTCTGTTTTGTCTTGCATCTGTCCCCCTATTTCAGGAGGCACCACTGCAGAGAATTTGGGATTGCACAGTGGCCAAATGGTAGCAATTGAGGTCACTCTAATGAGGAAGTTTTCCAACTCGCATTGGAATGGTTAGGTAGGACTAGTGGCAGAAGCCAATTGAAAAAGGCTAGAAGGGAGATGTGAAGAGCCAGTTAAATCAAAGTGTGCCTGCATTCGTAACAAATTCTGTGCAAGAAAGCTACACCTATTGGCATGGAAATATTAGTGGCTCTCTACCATCTCCTAAATAGTTATGTTCATGGATTTAAAATTATCTGCCTCACTGCCAGTTGGAAGTTCCTGCAGGAAGCTGATGAGGTTAACTAGAATATATAGACAGTTACATGTGTGAGGCAGGTGATGAAGGGCTACTAACAGGAAGAACTAGAATAGTACTGTATATTTGTAGCTTTAGACCACCCTTACAGTGGGTCACAGCCAGCTTTTTGACTTACACTGGAGTCTGGCATATGAGAGATTGGTGGCCTGATTTTCAGAGGTGCTCCACACACACAATTGCCATTAACTCTAATGGGAATTGTGAGTGCTCCTCTGAAAACCAGGTCTTAAGCCTCTGTTGTAGTCCACTGATTAAAGGTAGTGACCCCATAGGAATGAAACCCTGTAGCCCATTAGAGAAGGCTGCAGCTGCTCCTCTATTCAGTGTGGGCATTTACACATTCTTTGTGTCCTCCTGCAGATCTGTGAAGCATTCAAAGCCATCAGCCGGAAAATGTATGAGAAACCAAACAGCATTGAGGAGCTGGCTGAGCTGCGGGAGTGGATGAAGGGAGTCCCTGAGCAGCTGAAAGCGCAGGAAGTAAGGCATGCTTTTCTGATCAAAAGGGTGTGCCCAGTAGAGCCAGGGGATAAAAACTTGGGAATAGAGTGGATGGAGTCTTGGAGGTAGATCTCCCACTGCTTTGACATTTTATTATCCAGCTCTGAATCTTCCTGGAACAATAGGTCATTGCAAAAGCTGGTTCAGCTCCTTAAATTAATCCATTTTTGAAGAAATGAGATCTGGCCAGTCAGTCCAATTACCTGTTTTGTTGCTTGGGAAACCTTGCCTCTGATCCAGGCTGTTATGAAGCTTTGAGAAGTTGTGTGGTGTTCACAAGCTTTGTAGCTACTGAGCCCCTTAAATCCAGATTATCAGCTGACATATGAAATTTAACCCCAATGTCATTTATGCAACTGGGCATGTGTGTATAAAACCAGTGTGTCTATGCAAATTGAGCAGTCAGATGCCTAGCTACCAGACTGTATGTACTCAAGCAGGTTATGTGCACGCAAATGTCTTTGCAGGGGAAACTTGCAAAGGCAATTGAAAATGTTGTCCTTAATGTATGCTGTATATCCCTTCTACTTCTTGGTTAGCCATTCAATACTTCTGCACAGATATTGGATCTTGACTTTTTCTGTCTTCTGAAAATTAATTACAAACTTTCAAACCATAAAAATATTGCCATGATTTTCCTCTCATACCAGTTATAAACAGGTGTAGCTCCAGGGACTTCAATGAAGTTACTCCTACGTTGTACTGGTATGGTATATTAATATTATAATTAATTTGGCAGTAATACCACCGAGTTATTAGACAGAGCTTTTCATCTGTAGATCTCAAAGCACTTTACAAAGGAGGGATGTATCATCCCAATTTTATAAACAGAGAAACTAGGCACTGAGCAGTAAAGTGACTTGCCCAGGGTCACTCGGGAGGCCAGTGGCAAAGTCTGGAATAGAGCTGGGTTTCCCAATTCCTAATCCAGTGTCCTACCCACTGGGTCACACTCCCTTTCATATATGTAATCTGAGGATCACTCACACCATAAGTGTTTAGAGACTCAGACCCACTGCTTTTGTGGTATAGAAGTCCTCTGTGTTGGGGTAAGGTTGTGTGACGATGGCATGTGTCATGCAAATGCAGTGTGTATCCTGCCAGACAATCCCAATAAGCAATATGTTCAATACGTGTGATTTGGAGGATGTCTACTTTTCTCTCTGTCTCCCTGTGTAGGAACTCATAATTAAGGTCATGGAAGATTATGAGGTTATGGAGGAATTCCTTTACAACCTTACCCAAGATGATTTCAATGACAAGTGAGCATTTCTCTTACTGTCAAAGCAGCCTATTTTGCAGCTATTACCATTCTTAATGCCTCAGGGTTTGATTTGTATACCAGGTGCTTCAGATATTTTTATGTGGCAGTTCAGGCTAGATGTGCATTGAACACCTGATTCAGAAATTGAGTCTCTAGAGGTGTGCAGGTTCACACTGTCTCCTGGCCTGGGCATGAGGCAAACTTGTAGTAATGGACCTCTTTAACAAATAAAAGACCTTATCTGCCAGCTTATTTTTATTTTTTGTTTTATTTTATTATTTCTATTGCTGTAGCACCAAGAGGCCTTAACCAAGATTGGGGCCCCCTCTTGCTAGGTACCGTGCAGAAAAATTGTAAGAGAGACAAAAACAACAAGGAGTCTGGTGGCACCTTAAAGACTAACAGATTTATTTGGGCATAAGCTTTCGTGGGTAAAAACCTCACTTCTTCAGATGCAATCCACTCATCTTTTACTAATACACCAGATTTCTCTTTTTTTACAAATTCCTCTCCCTTTCCTGAGCCTTTTGTTACTGAACAGTTTAGATGCAGACACTGCATATCAAATAACAAAGCACCAAAAAATATGCTTTGAAACCATGCACGTTTCTGTTGCAGGTCAGCCTCCTTCATCAGTTTGATTGGGTTATCTAATTGTTACGCTCATCATCATTCCAATAATAGGCCTCAGGTTGCTGCTTCTCATCTTTTTTGTATTCTCATTCCATCTGAGCTCAGGTGGGCTGCGAGCAACTGGCCTCTGAAAATCGCCACACAGACGGAGATGATTCGGCAGCAGCACCTAGAAGATGAAGAGAGGTTCCGCAAAATTCAGCTCATGGATCAGAACAACTTTCTGGAACGGCTGGATGGTCTGCAGGTACTAATAATCTAGCATTAGGGGAGGCTGTCCTAAGCCAGCCCTAATCGCAAAGGGTATGTCTACACTACGAAATTAGGTCGAATTAATAGAAGCTGGTTTTATAGAAATCGGTTGTATACAGCCGATTGTGTGTCCCCCCACATAAAATGCTCTAAGTGCTCTAGTCGGTGGACCACGTCCACAGTACCGAGGCTAGCGTCGACTTCCGGAGCATTGCACTATGGGTAGCTATCCCACAGTTCCCGCAGTCTCCGCCGCCCATTGGAATTCTGGGTTGAGATCCCAATGCCCGAATGATGCAAAACAGTGTCGCGGGGGGTTCTGGGTACATGTCGTCAGGCCCCTCCCCCTCCGTCAGAGCAACGGCAGACAATAGATTCGCGCCTTTTTACCTGGGTTACCTGTGCAGACAACATACCACGGCAAGCATGGAGCCCGCTCAGCTCAGCTCACCGTCACCATATGTCATCTGGGTGCCGGCAGACGTGGGACTGCATTGCTACACAGCAGCAGCAGCTAACTGCCTTTTGGCGGTAGATGGTGTATTACGACTGGTAACCGTCGTCAACGTACAGCAGTGGCTGGAACTCCGTATGTCCCCCAGTCCCCCATCCCCCCAGTCATATTCTGCTGCCTTCACAATGACGATGATGGCTATCAGTCGTAGTATGCCATTTTCTGCCAAGCGCCCATCGCACATTAGCAGAGTCTTCCCTGAGCAGCAAATCGTGCAATAGGCCTGAAGGCCATCGTCATCATACAGGAAAAATGTGGCTATCAGTCTTAGTACACTAACTGCCAAGCGCCCAGTATTTGCTGCCAAGCACCCAGAAGATGCTGAGGGCTATCAGTCATGCTGCACCGTCGTCTTAAGATGTAAAAAAAGATTTGTTTTGTATTCATTTGCTTCCCCCTCCCTCCGTCAAATCAACGGCCTGCTAAACCCAGGCTTTTGAGTTCAATCTTTGGGGGGGGCCATTCTGTGTGACAGTTGTTTGTGCTTCTCCCTGATGCACAGCCACCTTTGTTGATTTTAATTCCCTGTACCTGTACGCCATGTCGTCACTCGCCCCTCCCTCCCTCCCTCCCCTGGTCTGTCAGATACTAGTTTCGCGCCTTTTTTCAGACCAGACGCCATAGCTAGCACTGGGATCATGGAGCCCGCTCAGATCACCGCGGCAATTATGAGCACTATGAACAGCACGCGCATTGTCCTGGAGTATATGCAGAGCCAGAACATGCCAAAGCAAAACCAGGACCAGCCGAGGAGGCGATTGCAGCGCGGCGATGAGAGTGATGAGGAAATGGACATGGACATAGACCTCTCACACGGCACAGGCCCCAGCAATGTGGAAATCATGGTGTTACTGGGGCAGGTTCATGCCGTGGAACGCCGATTCTGGGCCCAGGAAACAAGCACAGACTGGTGGGACCGCATCGTGCTGCAGGTGTGGGATGATTCCCAGTGGCTGCGAAACTTTCGCATGCGTAAGGGCACTTTCATGGAACTTTGTGACTTGCTTTCCCCTGCCCTGAAGCGCCAGAATACCAGGATGAGAGCAGCCCTCACAGTGGAGAAGCGAGTGGCGATAGCCCTGTGGAAGCTTGCAACGCCAGACAGCTACCGGTCAGTTGGGAATCAATTTGGAGTGGGCAAATCTACTGTGGGGGATGCTGTGATCCAAGTTGCCAGGGCAATGAAAGACCTGGTGATATCAAGGGTAGTGACTCTGGGAAACGTGCAGGCCATAGTGGATGGCTTTGCTGCAATGGGATTCCCAAACTGTGGTGGGGCCATAGACGGAACCCATATCCCTATCTTGGCACCGGAGCACCAAGCCACCGAGTACATAAACCGCAAGGGGTACTTTTCAATGCTGCTGCAAGCCCTGGTGGATCACAAGGGACGTTTCACCAACATCAACGTGGGATGGCCGGGAAGGGTTCATGGCGCTCGCGTCTTCAGGCACTCTGCTCTGTTTCGAAAGCTGGAGGAAGGGACTTTCTTCCCGGACCAGAAAATAACCGTTGGGGATGTTGAAATGCCTATCGTGATCATTGGGGACCCAGCCTACCCCTTAATGCCATGGCTCATGAAGCCGTACACAGGCAGCCTGGACAGGAGTCAGGACCTGTTCAACTACAGGCTGAGAAAGTGCCGAATGGTGGTGGAATGTGCATTTGGACGTTTAAAAGCGCGCTGGCACAGCTTACTGACTCGCTCAGACCTTAGCGAAAAGAATATCCCCATTGTTATTGCTGCTTGCTGTGCACTCCACAATATCTGTGAGAGTAAGGGGGAGACATTTATGGCGGGGTGGGAGGTTGAGGCAAATTGCCTGGCCGCTGATTACGCGCAGCCAGACACCAGGGCGGTTAGAGGAGCACAGCATGGCGCGGTGCGCATCAGAGAAGCTTTGAAAACGAGTTTTGTGACTGGCCAGGCTACGGTGTGAAACTTCTGTTTGTTTCTCCTTGATGAACCCTCCGCCCCCCCCCCACCCGGTTCACTCTACTTCCCTGTAAGCCAACCACCCCACCCTCCCCTTCCCTCTTCGAGCACTGCTTGCAGAGGCAATAAAGTCATTGTTACTTCACATTCATGCATTCTTTATTAATTCATCACACAACTAGGGGGATAATTGCAAAGGTAGCCCGGGATGGGTGGGGGAGGAGGGAAGGAAAAGGATACACTGCAGTTTAAAACTAACTCTTATTGAAGGCCAGCCTTCTGATGCTAGGGCAATCATCTGGGGTGGAGTGACTGGGTGGCCGGAGGCCCCCCCACCGTGTTCTTGGGCGTCTGGGTGAGAAGGCTATGGAACTTGGGGAGGAGGGCTGTTGGTTACACAGGGGCTGTAGCGGCGGTCTCTGCTCCTGCTGCCTTTCCTGCAGCTCAACCATACGCTGGAGCATATCAGTTTGATGCTCCAGCAGCCGGAGCATCGACTCTTGCCTTCTGTCTGCAAGCTGACGCCACCTATCATCTTCAGCCCGCAACTTGCTCTGTTCATCCCGCGATTCAGCACGCCACCTCTCCTCTCGTTCATATTGTGCTTTTCTGTAATCAGTCATTGACTGCCTCCACGGATTCTGCTGTGCTCTGTCAGCGTGGGAGGACATCTGTAGCTCTGTGAACATGTCATCACGCGTCCTACGTTTTCTCTTTCTAATCTTCACTAGCCTCTGTGAAGGAGAAACATTTGCAGCTGGTGGAGGAGAAGGGAGAGGTGGTTAAAAAAGATACATTTTAGAGAACAATGGGTACACTCTTTCACGTTAAATTTTGCTGTTCACATTACACAGCACATGTGCTTTCGTTACAAGGTCGCATTTTTCCTCTTATATTGAGGGCCTGCCGGTTTGGTGTGAGAGATCACTCACGCAGTGCCAGGCCACAGATTTCAGCTTGCAGGCAGCCATGGTAAGACACAGTCTTTTGGCTTTTTTAACCTTCTTAACATGTGGGAATGGTTTCAAACAGTAGTGCTCTCATTTCCCATACCAAGCACCCGTTGAGTTGGCCATTTAAAATGGGTTTGCAATGTAAAAGGAGGGGCTGCGGTTTCAGGGTTAACATGCAGCACAAACCCAACTAACTCCCCTCCCCCACACACCCAATTCTCTGGGATGATCACTTCACCCCTCCCCCCCACCGCGTGGCTAACAGCGGGGAATATTTCTGTTCAGCAGAGCAGGAACGGGCACCTCTGAATGTCCCCTTAATAAAATTGCCCCATTTCAACCAGGTGACCGTGAATGATATCACTCTCCTGAGGATAACAAAGAG